CGATCAAGTAGGTACAACAATAACTCGTGGTCTTCAGAACAAAATAAATTACAGGTAAGTAACATAGATTTAATATTTTAATATTATCAACCTATATAATTATATTTAACATTTAAATTGTATGACGTCTTTTTTTGGGGGAATGACACGTATATAGATACCTACTTATTATATACCTACCTGTCAAATTATATCGACTTACTTTAATAAAGACATCTGTAAAATTTACAATATAGACCGAGCTTACACTTTTTTTTAAACTTATTAGTCCAATGAGTAAAAGCCGAAATTTTTTTATTCCAGTCTTAGAATTTTTCAAATGTTTGAAAGTCGAACAATAAAATTTGGGTCTTTAATATTATAATGGTTTTTTTCGGTTTTTTTTTTTTTTTTAAACTTTTACTCCTGATTAACATCTGACCCCGATGAGTGAGATAACCAAAACAATTAACTCAGGTGTCTGATTTATTTGAATGTTACGATGTGTTTCGGTTGTGGTTATTTTAAATTGTAGTTTTATTAAAATAAAAATGGGTTGTTATGACTGGATCATGTATTTGAATTTGGGTGTCTCTGGCTTGAATGCTTGTTTCTTCTGGTATCGTGAATCTTTCGTCCGCTTATTTATATACCTATGATGCTATAACGTTGATGATGCCAACTATTTGTGAATATTGTATAGGTACTTGCAGTGAGCAATAAATAACTAAGAATAAAAGCCGTCATTATAATTTATAATATATTAATATCGAACAAGTCGTATAGTAATGACCATCGAATAGTTTAATAATGAGTTATCAATCGCATAACAAAATCATACTAAACTTAGTAGGAAAAAAATCTTGTTGCCTCCTGCACAGTGCACAATCATCCATGGTATTAGAATATGAATTAGTAATGACTAAAAGTAATATTCAGGTATATGTCTGTATAGTAGGTACCTAATAATTAGTAATTAATAGAATATGTAGGTACCTATATAGTACATCTGTATATAACAGGTACTAATGGTACTATATATTTGTATACCTAATTATATTATGGATGATATTTATAAATTATTCGTCCAAAGATAATCTTATATTATGTTATTTACTAACGGACACCATTTCAATTTATTTTAAGTGTGACAAATTTAAGGCGGGCCACTTCCGAAAATATTTAACACCATCAAGCAACAAGTCCTTACGTTGGTATGTAGTTACTATGTACTAGATAGGTAATAGTCAATAGGTCCGTACTAAATTATATAATATATTGATCTATTGAAATAATAATCATCTCGGACGTTTATAATTTAGGTAGGTATGTGAATATTATTGATGTACGCTTTGGTTAAACACTGATAAATATACGACCATAAGCATAAGGAAATTTGAACGATATAAAATAATAGGTAGGTACTTAACTATATTTTATACAAGATACCACCGTGTTTGATTTTACAGAATAAAAAAATACATTTTCAGCGTTTGACAAAGTTACGATGAATTTTCTAATAAACCGGGTCCCGAATGTTTTGGTGGTTAGGTATATTCTTCATGCACTGGTCGAATAAATATATAGGTACCTAGGTACCTAAACTATTAAATACTGATATTATATTACTTTGTGTTTTATTTTGTAGCGGCGGAGTTGTGGACACACAAACGTCGTCGTCGGTTTGACAGTTCCAAACGAGGTTAGGTTTTAGAAGATTGTACATAGTAAAAATAATAATTACTATTATTATTGCTTGAGTCGTTACACCGGCGACACATATCACACGTCGATCAAACAAGATAGGTACATACAGTGGATACCAGATGAAACAGTACCTATTATATTTTATAAAAAACGTGACATTTAAACACGCAATAGAGTGCGATTATATATATAGATACGTATAAATTTACTTTGTTTCTCCTTGGTCAAGTAATATGATGATCAATTTTCACTATAAAAGAGTTCTTTTATTAATTATTAAGAAACAAATATAAATAATAATAAACATACTATTTATAAAAGAAAATCGATTTTTTATTAAGGAGGATTGGAGGATTGGAGGTTAGGTTTGGCTGAGTCCCAAACAGAGGTTTGAATATTAGTTGTGAGTAGGTTTACTGCGTCATCGATATCAGAGGGAGTCTTTAGGCGGAGTTTAAGGCAAGTTTTTTCCGATAGGATTGTACTGAATTTGTCCCAGTCAGTTGGAAATTGAGATAGAGCTGAGGCGTTGGCTTTAGCTTGGGGAAGACAGTCTAGTGAAAGCATGACTGGTGAATGGTCTGAGCATGGGTCAATGAGATTGAATATTTGAGTGTGGATTTTCCTTGGAATCTTAGTGACGAAGATATCCAGGATGTCTGGCATTTTTCGACGGGAGTTAGGCCAGTATGTGTAATTTTGAGGTGCAATGACAGTAGAGTTGGTAGATGGTAGTGATTGGAGGAGAGAATTTCCTCTGGGGTTTGAGGCACGACAGCCCCACTGTTGGAGCAAATAAACTAAAAAAAAAAAAAAAAAAAAAAACTAAAAAAGTTTTGGCGATGTCGTTACAAAGATTCGTGTAAGGCGAGAGTTCATACGATAGTGGAAACAAATAAGTTTTTAAAACAAATAAATGAACATTCGACCCATGACTCGGAAGTGGCTAAGATTGAAGCTAATTCTGCAGTCACTAAGATGAAAAAACGAGCACGTGAAATCGTCATCGAAACCCACTTTTTCCCCCTATAATTTGGAACGTTCATGAAGATTAATAATTCACGTTTAAGGAGAATACAAAGTGGCCGAGACACCTTCTTTTGCCAATTAGAAACAGGCAAAAGTCCACCAAAAAAAAAAAAAAATACATCGACGTCGATAAACGTATTTTAAAATTAGTCTGCGATTATGATAATCGTAATATTATGAGTTTTGTAAGAGGAATAGCACATAATTTAAGTATGATGACCTGAATATTTGTATTCATAATTTTAATAGCATTCTCCTTATTTTAATTAACTTTGTATTATTAAACTTAAATATACCTAATTATTATATACAGTTTTTTATACAAAAAATATTTATATATTTATATTTTATGGTGACCTACCTAATTTCTTGAATGGGCTCTACGCCGAAACGGCCCTACGCCGAAACAACCGTAATCCGAAACAGCCACGCCAAGATGGCCACGCCGAAATGTCCTAGACCGCTATTTTCGGACAGATCACGTTCTCCAATGCTTAAAAACGAGTTTTGTAGATCTCAAACGACATCGTCGACATCACATAACCCATATTATATACCTAAATGGCTAAATGGTAATTTAATTTATAACTCATGTATTGTTGAACAATTTAACATGTAAGTTGATCTCAGATGAAAAATTCCATTTTAAAATGTATAACCAACTTTATTTTATACAAAAAATGATAAAAAAAAATCTTTTTATTAAAGTCTTCTACATAAACCACTTTTCTATCAATACAAACGTCATAATAAAATAAAAAATCACAACAGAATATACATAATTAACATTTTAATAATATTATAATTTTTAACTGGAAATAATATTAATGGAATTTATATTTATCTAAGTATTAAACAGTAAACTTTTACAATATAAGTAAATGATTTATTATATATATCATGGTGTATAAATAATAAATCTACTAAATAATATTTATACTTTATAGGCTAGGCTATAGGTATAAGAACCGTTTGATCCAAATAACATTCATACCATATTTGTAAACTGTTAGACACTACAACAATATAATAATGTGTATATAGGTACCAGTTACGTAAGTTACATTAAAATAATAATGAAATACACATATTTATTGAATTTCTTATGATATAATTTAATATACGAACACTGCAGTTGTAATATATTATATAATTCATATTATTACTGTGCACTTCGCTGTATTTTTGTAACAGAACCAATTTACAGTTAACTCTTTAATTTAGTTTTCTATCTCTAAAACTATTTTCTGTTTGCTTAAATAACAACAGCATAACCATAATACATATTTTAATAATTAAAGAATATTATAAAAAAAAAAAAACAAAAAACATATTATATCGTACCTATAACCTACATTCATATTATATTGTAGTCCATACACTAAATTTCTTAGACAACACTCTTACATGCATTACGGAAATTATAAAGTGAATGAACCAAATTTGATATTTTACTATCTATCATTAATCATTATTATTTTTCATTTATGACTAGTTTAACACATGAATTATTAAATAAACAAATATTATGTATTTAATTGTATGTATTATAGTGTGTGGTAGACGGTAGTACAATTTTAAGCTTAAACTTTCTGATTGATATTCTATTAAAACCATAACACATAATTCAAAAAAATCCATAGAATATACTTAAAACAATGTATAGGATTTATTTACTTATATAAAAATGATTTTTTGTTGCCTTTTTAACGTCGATAAAACTAATAAACAAATTGTTTGGTGGAAAATATTATGATTTTGTTTACATAATATATACTTTTGTCCTTTATATTATATTATAATGTATTTACTATTTATACTAAGTAATTTTTAGTTTAAACTATAGAGTCTAGAATGAACATTTAAAATATTTTAACAGTAAAGAAGAACTCAAAAATATTATGTTGTAGTTGTTTCTAAGAATAGAAACTTATATTGTATTTTCAATTATTTTGAGCAACTTATGGAGATGTTAATAGATTTATAATTAATTAAAAATTATATATTAACTTTTTAACTATAAAATTATTTATAGAAATGTAATAGGTTATATAAATAGTTAATTTTATCGATATACTTACAGATCAAAATGGTTGTGAAATGTATTAAACTTCAATTTTGATTTGTTTAATTAGAGGTATAAAACTTATTGGGTATTAAAGTAAAAAATATTATATTTTGAGTCTTACAATAAACAAAAGTACAAAATGTAGGAATTAAAAACATTGTTTTAGTCAAATACAAATAAATCAATATTGCGTTGCATATACATATAACTAAATTGACTAGACATCTATTTGGAATGAAGTCTCTTGTGTAAGTCTTCTAGGTGATCTTCGTTGATGAGATGATATTTTTGGGCGGCGTTCATATTCATTTCCCTCGTTTTGTCGCATTGGTCTAGAGTCTGAAAACCTAGCCGGAGGATTTAAACGCTCACTAAAACCCAAAACGTGTATTATATTCCATTTAAAATTGATGAAAAACTATTAAAACCTGTACCTAAAATTAATTTCATCATTATGACTTGAAAACCCATTGTTATTCTTCAGTGACCTTTTTGTAAATATTTGGCTTTTTGATTTAGGCTTCCGTAGAGGAGGAATTACAGAGGGTTTTCTAACTTCGGCTATAGAGGTCTCTGATGAAGAGCTGGTGCCTTCATTGCTCACTTCTATAAAATAAATTTATTATAACTGTGTAGTATTTTTTGTACAATATGTAACTTTTATTTAAATAATATACCTCTACTCATTCGGTGTCTAAAGGAAACAAGTTCTTGGCTTGCTGATTGATTTCGCCTTGCTTCACCATTGTCAGAGTCACTACCATGAGTGTCATACTCTGAAATAGGTAGGTGAAGAGTTAGAATCCGCTTTACCTCAGAATCTGTACTACCTAAATTGTCTGATTCTGAAACAGACCAGTTCTTAATGTTTATTTTTTAATCCTTATTAAACTAGTATAGTAATTTTGTTTAAATTTCATCTTAAACAATACCTAATTAATATAAATTGCTCAATAATGTATAACACACACTTACACACATCAAATATGTACAAAGAACTAAAAATGTTATCTAGGTACATTATATTTTTAAATATTTATCACCTTGACTTTCCGAATGAGGATCTCTAAGTTTTCTTCCTTTTTGACGGACTTTTGTATACTCTGGCTCTTTTCTCTAAAACAATATTTAAATATGTTATAAAAATCAGCAGACAAAAATTCAGACTCAATATATGTATAAAAAAAAAATTTTAATATAATTTTTTTATAAGTTTTTAAATTTTTACTTATACGTTTTGGTCCGAATTTTTGTCTGTTGATTTTTTACAACACCTTCAAATAATCTAGAATCATTTGACGTTGGTGGCAGATGTGCTAAATTGGTTGATTTTTGTATATCAATAATAAATTATAAAAAAAAACAATTGAGACAATTGGTAAGGTCAAACCAGTAGCGTACTAAAACGTTTTTTTTTTTTTTTGGGGGGGGGGTTAATTTTTAAATTAACAAATTTGGATACACAACATAATATATTAAATTTAAATAGATTATTAATTTTTATTCTCGTTATTATTTTTAATTGATTGTCAAAACATAATGTGTATTGAAGTCTGAAATTAACCCAACTTACTACCATGAATAAAAAATGTAAAAATTAAAAAAAAAATGTTAAAATATAATTTAGATATATTTTTAAAACATCAACTTTCTATTTTTTTTCAGAAAAAATACCGATCACCTCACTACTTTAGATTGGTATTTCTCTATGGATACATAGATAGTTAGATGAGATATATTTAGTCGATTTTCCCCTGTAGAATTCCTCAAATATGACTTAAAAAGTTTTAATGTTGAAAAGCTCCGTTTTACACTAGCAACTGAAACGGGCAACGTAGCGCCAATTTTAAAATATTAGTATACTTTATGTAACAGTAACACAACACAATAACTTATTGCATCGATAAAAGTATAAAGGAGTTTATCTGAGGCTATCTATCTTTGTTTCCACGGTAGAAAATTTTAATTTAAAATATTGCCACATGAGCTTACAACGATTGGCCACTGTTTTGACATCACTTCAGCACTCGTCTCGATTTAATTTTCGGAAAATTGTATTAGTTTGTTTGGTATAAAGTTTTGAATAATCGAGAGTGTATTTTTGTGTTTGGTAAAACTAAGTTCTAATTGCGAGATGAAATGGTCAATAAACGCGATGAATACCCGATAGGTAGTAATTTTTTGCTGAAGTTGGTTCCTAATTTGTCTGTGTTGTTGAAATTGTGTCACCCTTGGAATTTTGATTTTCTCTTTGATTTTTTTAGCAAGTTGTTCAGCTGTGCTAAATAAATCATGACATTTTGACTGTTTATTGCAACGCACTTCCTTTATTAGAACACTTAAATTATTAGCAGTCTCAGACTGCCAGTCTGCATTGCAGATGCTAGGTCAACATTCACTTTTTATAGATATATTGATAGTGAATGAGCCATAGAAAAAAATTCTTGAATCACGACCATTGCAAGAATAAAACTTCTATTTTTAAGAGTTTGATGTTATGTGAACGCTTTTTTTGAGGGGAGTGGTTGTCCTCCCCGTTAAAACGGAACTGGTTCAAACCACTAGTAGCAGAGATACCACAAGGAAAAAAAAACCCCTAGTAGCACCTGGGCTATAAGATAAACTAAAGCAACCTACGTTGTTGAATTATACAGTTAAAATATAATGATAAAATATGATATTTTATTTACTTGAACAAAATTATAGGGTTCGGAAGTTGATGCTTTTGGTTGATGATATACAAATGAACCTCTAACTGAATGGTATGGACCACTGTAAATATTACCACTAAATGTACTTTCACCTTGTGGTTGTTTGGCAAGTTCAAACGTAGCATACGGACAAATTTCATCCATATATTCTATAAAATATATAGTTAAAATGTTGTATATAGATTAATGGCCCTATAATGTTATAATATGATGATAAAAATACCAGTTGAATCAGTTTTAAATGTTACAGAATCGCAACTTAAGGTTTGTTGCGATTGTCCCCTGACTGAATATCGTTGATCACGGCTCCGTTGGCTTTGATCTCTAACCGATTCTTCATCTGAGCGTTCTGATATAAAATTAGATTTCAACAATTTTTTTCATGGAACACTAAAGCTCACAAATACTTACTCATTACTTTATAATAGTATGTAAATGCTGCAATTGATGATACAACAACTAAAGCTATTATCAAGGAAATGGCAGTTGTGATTGATGTAAATACTGAAGCTTCTTCGGTTGCTATTTCAGTATATAAATCAAACGGTATAACAGTCGCTGTGTAAAAATACATAAAAAAAATAAATTATTATTTATTTATCCTTTTTAGTTAGTTGATAATATATTCAAAAATACCTCCATCAATAGTGAGCGTGGTGAAGTTATACAATGCATACGATGACCCAATATTATTGTGTGCAATAACTTTCAATTGATATTTAGTTGCCGGCTCAAGACCTTCAACAGTATACATACGCTCTGTTGGAGCTACAGGTTTACTGCCATCACTTAAAATCCACTCATCAGATTTTGGTTGTTTCCATTCAATTGTATAATATAATATATCACATCCTCCACTTCCCCACAGATCAAACCAGGCACTCACTGTTGAGCTATTATATGTTATTGCTTCAGTTGGTGATTCAGGTGGAATAGGCACTGTGGAATTATAAATGTATGTACCTATTGTTATTGCATATTGACATTTGTTATTTGTTATAACTATTAACATGCAAAAAAATTTGTCTAGTTGTTAGTATTCTAAATATTTTTCTTTATATGTATTGTTTTTTTTCTTTACTATATTGTATATATATATTTTTTTCGCACATATGCTTATTGTAAATGCCATTACAGAATGTATATAATTCAATAAATGTTAAAAAAAAAAATTCATAAAAACATAATTAAATTTAGTAAAAAACGTTTATTTGGAAAGTAATTTAAAAGTATTTCAATAATTATAATTATTGTCAAAATACTTAATTTTAAATTTGGTCAGTTGACAGTAATAACTTATTATCTTATGTAATTTTTTTTAGTAGCTGTTTTGAGTAAAATATATGAATAAATAAATACCCGATCCTTTAGTATATGATGTTAAAATGTCACATGGTAGACCCGTTCCAATTTTGTTGTAAGCAGTAATATACAATTGATACCTTGTGCCACAAAGTAATTTTTCTAATATATGAAAATGTGTCTTTGCATCAATATGGATTTCTTCCCAATCACCATGTTCACGTTTAAAATTGATTATGTAACCTAAAATTTCATTAATTAATAAAAATTAAAAAATTTGTCAAAATAAGTCCAGTGTTGAGCTCAGAAAACAAAAAACATATATAGATAAGATACAGATAATTTCATAAAAACGTATCTATAGATACAGAAAAGATAAATATAAAACGTTATTATCTAGATAATAAAATAGATAAATTCAAATTTTTACATGTTAATAACAAAAAAAAGGTGGGCAAGTGGGTGTCTGGTATTCAATGATATAATATCAATAATATCATTGTATAAGAAAAACTATTCTGAGCGAAGTGAATTTTACGTATTTTGTCGGTATTTAAAATTTAAATGCTTATAAAAAAAATTGTGACTATGGATGTTTAACATTTTTCATCTGTCTTTGAAAAAATATATTAAGAGCCTTCTATTAAATTTTCAAGCTTTTTTACCCAATAAATACAATTTTATTGATATTTATAGAATAAAAAACTAAAAAATTGTAAACTGAAAATGTCCGTAATCAGCTCAAAATAAGTCAAAATATTTTTAAAATGTTATGGTGTATAGAAAATGCAAATATAAACATTCAGTCAAAATGTCATGTATCTACGTTCATTTGTTTTAGAGTTACACCCAAAACCAAAATCGAATACAACAAAGCGTTTTTGAAAACCACTGGGAAATTTTTTCTTTTGACCCCCAAAGTACCTAATAGATTCACTTTCTTATCAGAAAAGATACTGTTGAAGAAAATCTAAGCTACTGTCCTAACTCCTAAACACAAAAAATAAGACAAAACACACATCATTGTAAAATCAATTCATTAATCGCTCCGCTCAGAATCTAAAATAAATATTATTAGTATTTATAGGCGAACACGGTTATTTGTGTGTAAATAAAATATCATCTTCCAAGATTTGACTTATTGAGTTAAATTTACAATTTCATACCTAAAATTGACGATATTTAGCCTGTAAAACTTAATTATAAGAATGTTGTAACAGAATAACAATTGTCAGTTATATTATCGTGTCGGCCAAAATTACAGGTCTGTGTGACTGTACCTATATTTTGTTGTCAAATAATCGAAAACATGAATTCTATTACATTATAATACTTCTTAATACCATTGACACGGTACGGAGCGGCAGCTAGTACAAAGTACTGCTCTAAAATAAATAACACGGTATACGTGCGAAGTTGATAAATTCTATGTTTGTATACATATAATACAGACTTTTCATTGAAGAATTCTCATTTATTTAAAATGTGTTTTGTTCTTCGAATTACTTTTATAAACATTATTAAAACGCTCTTCCCAGATAGTTAATTAATATTAATATATAAATATTAAATACTCCTAAGAATCCGGGATGATCAACTATGACTTCAATACTATTTTAGGTACACTGTATACAATTACTTTTTTCAACTACAAAGCTGTACTAATATAGATTATAGGCTATATTTTATCTCCCTCCTCACTGTGTCCGCAATCTACAGCAGGTAGATTGCCTACCTGATAATATACTGTTCGCATAACCATAAGCGAAACACACGGGCAACGCCACGCGGGATGGCTAAAATTTAAAATATAATATGATTTTGTTTCCATACCTATATGCAGAGCGAATTACACCCAAAATGAGTTAATTAATCACAATTTTTTCCCCGGGAAACACCGGGTTACTCAGCAAGTAACTAATACATTAACTTACCTAATATCGGTATATCTGGTTCAGCTGTATCCGTCCACTTCAGTTGTAAACTATCGGTTTCTTCTAAATAGACAGTTAACTTTGGAGGTGACGGCGGTACTATAGTTTATGTATAAATTATTATATTTTTCACCAATAAATATTTAATTACCCTTAACTATTTATTACCTCTAACGTTAACTGCGTATGAAATTTCATCTTTCCCGTGTGTATTCTCCACGGCACACGTATAGTTTCCTCTGTCTGAGTGTTGTATATCGTGTATAATCAACGACCCATCTTTGTTTATCTGAGGTGAAGGGGGTAGTTGTAAAATCAGGACAATTATAAAAATATGCATACACATTACTATATTATATGTACAGGGGCGTATTTGCATGTTTCCCACTTGTAAGCCTGTGGAAAATTATCACCCTAAATAACTAAAAACCCGATTTTTGAGACATATAGTCACGAAATTCGTCGTTAAGATAGTGCTTCACCTGTATTCGTCCTCTCTGTATGACAAACGCATAACATAGCATATTGTATGCTCAGCAGATCACGCTTAGCTCTGATAGTTTAAAAATCGAGTGAATTTACCTCTTATAAAATTTAAAGGTAAGATTATTATCTAGAGAACCTCATAGGTTTTTTTCGGATTTTAATTTTAAAGCAAATTACGAGTATTTATAATATATGTTAGTCCGCGGTTGTCGCCTATTGGCTATTAGAGTACCTATACATAACATAATATTTTACAATAACAAAAAACTTAAAACGTATAACCTTCAACAATTTGCCGCTGTAAATACGCCACAATGTATAGATACTACTTATATTACATATTATTTTATTTTATTAGTTATACGGGCTTAGCCCTTTATGATGTAATATCGTGATTACATCTATATAACTTCACTATATGTTATCTCAATCATATAAAAATATAAATACATTTTGTAATTGCACACTAGTAAATAATAAGTAATAACCATAATATCAACTAAGATATCCTAATTCATGCTAATATAATCAAAAACATTAATGAACATTTGATAACATCGTCTATTTTTCTTCAATTTCAGATTTTTTACCATCATAACTGTTGTTATATTTTCCAAAATAATATAAGTACCAAGAATATTTAAATTTGCCCTGGATGACTGAATAATTAATATATTAAATAGTTTCCCGGGGAGATTAATGTTATTTGTACCAAATAATATAAGAACATTTTCATTTGTCCCTTAAAAATGTATTGAGAGGTACATTTTTCTAATGCAATGAGACAGTAGTAAAGCTTGGTTTAAAAATAAAATAATTAGACGTTATAATCTATCATCATTACTTAATAGAGTAGAAGCAATATGTTTTAAGCATAGAAAAAATTATTATATACATAGGTTCTATAAGTTATAGCATACAATATATTTTATTTATTTTTATGTTCGCAGAATATTAATTACTTAATCTAACCGAACATATCCTAAATGTGTTCATTATAACTTATAAGGTACCTTAATATTAATATCAAAATAATTCATAATAAAATGTGTGTTGTGTAACCTGATATCTCCCACTTGAAATGATTGATCGTCCACCTTTTGTCCATATTGGTTGAGGATACGGTATACCTACTCTTTTACAGCTTAATGTTACATTTTTCTTCCATCGCATAATCAAAACTTGACTGAATGATACTATTTGAGCAGAGATTTTAATCGTTGGGATTACAGTTATTGTTCTAGTGCTCTCGCCTTCCCCAATTTTAGTTAATGCTTTGACCCAAAACTGGTATTTGGCACTATCAATGATTCTTGATGCTTCAAAAACCTCAATAGATGGGCTGAGTATTTTTTTTATTGGTTTCGACTAGAAAAACACATTAAAGTTATTAAAACAATTATTTAGAAAATTAGTATAATATAATGCTTACATCTTTATGACCGCTTAAAATTGATATGTATAAAATATAACCAGTCAGTCTCCCATTTGGACGAATTGGTGGAAGCCAAGATACAACAATGGTTTTTATAGAGCTTATGACTGCTTTGATATCTGCTGGTACTGAAGGGGCTAAAATACAAACATAACACAATGAGCTTTGTGTGTAAACCGACAAAGAAAAAACAATTGCATTACTATCTTCTTCAGTTTTGCAGTAAATTGGATCACTTTGAACTCCATCTCCTTTACTCGTAAATGCAAATACTGATATGCTATAGTTTGTGTATTTCAATAAAGCTTGGATTGTTGTGTATTGGATAGTAGTAATTTTCGTTTCAAATTCATTTTTTTCTGAAAACAATACCACGTATAATTGCTTAATAACTGTATGAACTTATTTAATATATAAAGTTGTTTTGATAATTATATACACTTACCATACCAGTCTTCTGCTGGTTGATACGATACTTTGAAACCTTGTATTTTACCATTGCGCCCCGTTGGCAGAGGTAAATCCCACGATACTTGAATGCTTTGTGATGTTAAAGATCTACACGTAGGTTTTTCTGGTGGCATTGTTGGTACTAATTGAATATTATGTAGATATTATTAAATATTAGTGATAACATCCTTTTATTATATTGTGTACCTAACATTTATTTGGTATTATAATACTTACTTCCTTCGTCAGTCTGCACTGTAATAGGTTTCGAAAACGGCCCAGTTCCTCTGCTATTAAAAGCTTGTACTACAATCGAATACGTCGTGTATGGTATTAGACCACTAATGACAAAGTCTTCGCCATATTGAGAATTTATGTTAATAGTTTTTATAATGTAACGACTGTGCGGTACCGTTGGTGTAGTAGGATTTTGTGTATCATCCGTCGGCAGGTATCCAATGTGATATCCAATTAAAATTCCATTACAAGAGTCTGACGGAGGTGGTTCCCACATAATTAAAAGTTCTGTTTTGCTTTTAGCTTCAGCACGAATATTTTGAGGTGCCATACTGGGAACTAATTAGCGATTTCAATAATAAATAAGATTCGAGGATGTTAGTTTAATAGAATTTACAAATTTATACACGTATTTTCCTTATCATCCCTTATTTTCTTATTATTATTTCCAGTTTATTTTACTCAATTTATATAATATACCAATATATTTAATAAAAAAAAAATTATGAGATCAACATCAACCTAAATTGATTTCGTATATTGTCATTTAATATTTAAGAGATACATTAATATAATATCTTTGCCTTTCTCTTATGTAGAGAAATAGATTAGAAGTATTTTTAAATTTGTTTATATGCACCTACATATTTTATGTTAAAGTAGGTATGTAGAATGAAGAAACTTCCATTTTATTTTAAAATTACATATATCATCTATTCATCTTATACAATTACAATATAAAGAGGTTCCTTTTTTTAATTTGAATAATTTAAGCAGCATAGTGGTATACCTTATACGACCTAGCTACTAGTTTTTGTAAAGATTCGTAATTAATTAATGTTTTAAAGTAACTAATATTAAATAGTCAGTGAAAGTTTACAGTGGCCTATATCAGTATTATACCTATTAATTTGTGTTGAGCATATAAACTAATATATATATATATTTTAATTTAAAATAAGATTATTGATACTTATTGATAAATGATAGTCGATTTCAATACAGTTTGTCTCGTAGTCTTACTAAGTGTATTATCAAAACTCATGGAGAGAATTATTCTAAAAAAGATAGCCCTTTTCATAGAACCACCTATTCCGATTCATCAGGCAGGTTTTCTACCTAACAAAAGTTGCTGCGAAGAGGTCTCACGTAGAGAAAGGCTACAATGACAATATTAAATATAGAGCTACCATCATCGATCTTTCGGTAGCATACGATACGGTTTGGAAAGACAGCTTTTCGAGTTTATCTTGGTAACCGAAAAAGCAGAACACTCATACTAAACAATGTCATACCTCAAGGATCTTCAGTTACCCCAATTATTTTTAACATACATACTCACAAGTCACGACATACCAAATATAGACTTTAAAATTTTCTCTTATGCAAAAGACATCTGCATAATAGCGCAGTACAAGAAGCTAGAAAATATTGAGAGAACCTGAAATTAGACCTATCAAGGTTGGAACAATTCTTCTTCATTTAAAGAACAGGGAAGCCAACAAAAAAATCAAAATATTTTGATATTTTTGATTGTTAATACCTTAAAATGTGTATCAATATTAGTTATAATAATGGTAATAAAAGTAATAGTAATAACAATAATTTCATTTAACCTCTTATCAAATAAGAAAATATTTTAGCGCTACCACTCATTGTAAAGTCATACTAATAAGTAAAATACATTTTATGGCTTTATGCTGATATCAAGAAACAATTTAAATATCTTAAAACTTGGTACTATCATATAGATTTTAAATTTTAAATTCATCAAAAATCTGATGATATAGAGAGAAGAGAGTCCTCTATACTGGTTTAATACCACAATTATTAATTTCAAAACATAGGGATATAAAGTATAATATACTATACTAAGTATATTATACTTACCTACGTATATTTAATTTATATTGATACACAACTATGGTCTTGGCCATTGATGTCAATATTTAAGGGTTGTGGGACATGTAAAATGACGTGATTTTTAAAAATATTAATGATAAAGTTACCTTCTTCTTGTGTAAAAGCTTGTGCTTCGTCACTGGGTTCACTAAATCCCATGGCATTTTCTGCAATGACTCGAATATGGTAAGACGTTGCCGGTGTTAATCCCTCGACGGTTGTAACGGTTTGAGTACCAGCAACAATTACTTTTGCAGGGTCAGTTATCCATAAAGCTATTAGAATAATGATTTTCAATGAAAAAAAATATTCTTAATCAAATAATGCTAAACATACATGCAACTAATTTGTATTGGACTATATAATTTAATATAACACTGTTTCCGTCGTATGGTTGATTCCATGTTATTTCCATTGACCGGCTCTGTTGATTCAAAATTCTAATATCTTTTGGACTTTCCGGTGTCTCTGTTTAAATTATCACCTGATAAAATATACAAAACTATGTTTATTTACGATTTATATGTATCACATACCCTGCACTATCAGTTCAATCGAATTCTCATCTTCTCCGAAATTATTACTCCCGGTACATTTAAAAAAACCTGTATCGTGTCTATATACAGGTGATATTCCAAGCTCTGACATTATTCCATTGTCTTTAGATTGTTCTCTTATAGTAAACCTGGAGACGTCCCAAAATAAATAAATCATAGTACAAATAAAATATATAGACCCTTTTTTTTATATAGTAGTTAGTAGAAAAAATAAATGTTTTATAGGTACCTACTTATTGAGTTATGTTATAAAAATTAAATCAAACCATGATTGTTATTTAAGTTCAGAATTAATTATGCCATGTAGATACAGATTTATATAAAGTACTAAAAAGTATTAAAATACTATAGGCAAAGTTTTATATTGGCTAATGGCTATCTATATTAAGATAGCATTATATTTATGATTCTAAACAGTTAAGTTAATCTTAATGACTATTAATATTATATCTTAGTAATAATTACATTTGACACAATCAATATAAGCTTATGTCTTTGATTATCTAAGAATAATATATTAAATAGGATTTGTAACAGAAACGATTTGTGAGGGTTTTGGGTGCCTACATGCTACGTCAAGAAATGTTACGGTTTGACCTTACAGTTTTTTTTTTATTCCTCTTATATTTTAGTTTTATGTATGTATTTTTTTTTAGCAGTTTGGTTATAAAAATCAAAATTACACTAATTTCTTTAGAGTTTCATTGAAAAATCTTATGTTATTGTAAAATATACTTTTAAGTTTTAACTATTGAATACACGTCCTTGAACCTCCCGGGACCTACCTTTCCCTATCTTCTTCTACCTCATTACATCTCTCTGCATCTGATAATTAATTGTAGGAATAGATAATATATTAACAAGCTAATCATTATTATAAGGTATAACATACTATTTTAGGTTCAAATTCAAGTGTCACTCAAAATTTTTTTGTGTATTAAATGGGCATGTATTTAAACTGTCAGCTATGATTATAATTATATCGTGTTTTCGTATTCTAGGCTCCAACTAGTATTAAAGTTTTATTGGAATTTGAGTTTCCTTAATTTGTTTTGGTTAATACAATTGTATAACAAACATTTAGGGTTATATAAGTTATATTTGCTATTATTTTTCTAAACCATGAATGTAAGGTAAATTTTTATCAGTAATAATAAATAAAACAATTAAATCAATTTGGTTTAAATTTGAATGTAAAAAATCAAAAAAATCAATCTTGATTTAAATTCTATATTAAAACGTTTAATTTAACGATAAAATCAATAACAAATTCATATTTTATTACCTTCGATCTATATCCTTTGAAATTTGCATATTAGTGGTTCCCTTCCAAGATATTTGTAATGGTTTATCTCCTACAGCAATACATTGTATATGAGCATCATCATTAAGTTTAACCCGAATTTGTTTAGTTTTTTGTATAAATTTCACTGGAGCTATATAAAAAAAATGAAATTAACAACAAGCACTTGTAAAATATCATTATAACACAGAACTACATACTCGTATAGTTGTATCATATACATTATTAAAGCAAAAATATGATTTTACCATTTATTTTTAATTGTATGACTTTGCTCAATCCAGGACTAATGTCGTTTTTGGCCTCGCACATATACTTCCCCTCATTAGCTTTACTAGTATGCAAAAACTCCAAAGTTCCGTTTCTAAAGAAATTTACATTGGGCTCATATAAAAAGTCCTTATATTCTCCTATGGAATCGCCTAAAAAATAAAATAAAAATCTATTTTATTCGATTACATCGTTAAACGTACAAGGCAATATTCCATGAAATATATTTTGATTAGCCAGATATTTTTACCATACAGTCATATTCACTTTAGCTGGTATTTTTCAACAGAGCTCATCCTATATGAATCAACACTTTTTTTACTTACTTCAGCTTCCAAAAATTGTAGTGTATGATTTAAAAGACTCAGTTTTGGTACAAGTATTTTAGCAGATAATTTTTTTTAATTGCTAAAAACTGTACCTATTTCTATGTTTTTGAAAATAATGTTCTGGTATTTTATTTCATAATATTCTTGATGTTTTATAATTAATTTATGCAATGCATGGTAGATTCAAAACTGAATACCTAACCATACTGATATACATAAGTACATAAGTTATATATGGTAAAGAAAATATATATATCGTTGCTCTTTTAGTAGAATGCTAAATTTATTTCAATGATAATTATCTTATATTGTATAGTGGACAAATATTAATTTATAAAAATGTTATTCTGAATTTCTAATAAGGTACTTTACGAAAATATAATATAAAGACTACGCTATATTTCATAGGTCTTCCGGTTAATATATTGATAAATTCACACACTTAGCCATTGGATATTTATTGTTGAAATATCATACTATACATAATTTAACTAGATAATTACCTACCATTGAATACAATTTCTTATGAAACCCCAAAAATAATTATTAAAAATTTGATATTCTTATAATAAAATATAATATTCACTAACCATAATAAATCAAAATTAATTATAATACTTAAATAATGTAAAATACCAAATGATTTCCTCCAAACTACCGTCGGTGTAGGATAACCTTCTGCCTGACAATGTAACATGCACGTATAGCCCATGACCACATTTGTGTCTTCAGGTTCAACGATCCATTTTGGAGGAACTAAAACCATTAATTGTTTTATATTATAAATGAAATATTAAATAAAATTTATATTTATATTTCTCACCGTTTACTGTTAGTGGTACGGTAAATTTCTCTTCTCCTGCTGAATTTGTTGCTATACACGTATAGTTTCCTGCATGTTCAGCAGTGATACGCTCTATAATTAACGATGACGAATACTCATCATGATTTCTTGTAACGGTTCCCACTCCTAAGCCATTGTTTACACCATCACTGTCTTTTGTCCAAGTAAACATTACAGGAAGGTCACCTTCTACAATCTGACATGAAATTGCTGCACGCATACCTTCAGCTAAAAGGTTTGTCATGGGAGGAATTGGTAAAATTTTCGGTCGAACTAAAAATGTAATCATGGAAAAAGTAAGTTTATATAAAATTTAACTATTTGATATAAATAGATACTTAAGACTTGAATTTCCACATCTCTTCTAGAAGAATGACCATGGTGATTTTTTGCTTGACAAGTATAAGTACCAGCATCCGTTTGTCGTTGAACTTGTTCTATTGTAAGAGTTCCATTACTGTGGACTTTTTGACGAAGATTAACTGGTAATGTTAATCCATCTAAAAATAAGTGTTAAAATAAAAATATGAATTGCCAATCTAAAACTATATACCTTACCCCGTTCCCAATTAATTGATTCAATCGGATAACCTGCTACAGGACACTTAACTATAAGTTGTTTTCCGGCTACAACATGAACACTAGGCATTTCCCTAACGAAAGGAACTCCATAAACATTTATCCTAGAAGAATGTGAAACATGTGCAATTTCATTATGTGCTGTACACGTGTACTCTCCACCATCTTCGACTTTCAATGAAGATATGTTGGCATGAGCGATAACATCATCATGTGCAGTCACATATTGGCCCACCAAAATTCTATTCGATTCTGGTATAGGAAATCCATCTAAAGTCCAAGTAAACTGTGGAAGAGGATTTCCTGATGCTACACATTTTAATGATAAAGATGGCCCTGGTTGTAAAGTTTGCTCGGTAAACCAATAAACAAGTTCAGGTCCAATATCTGTTAATTCGTGATTAAAATGAAATTAAACTTTACTATATTTTATCTAATTTATTTTATATACCTCCAAGAAGCAATTGGGTGTTATCATGAGCCATATCCCAATCATTAGTTCCAAAACATTGATACATTCCTTGATCATCTTTATTCAAGGGAGATAACATCAATGTTTGCTTATGAAGTGATGATGTGAAACGTATTCTCCCATTTAGTTGCATTAAGGGTTGTCCATTTTTATACCACATAATTCTGTTGATTGGATGGCCATTGACTGTACATACAAACTGGACAGACTTTGCAGGATCTAAGAGTGAAGAACCAACTACTTTTTGAGGCAGTATGTTAACTGAAAGGGGCTCTTAAATAGATAAATTTAAATTAATTATTTTAGTATAATTCATAAAAAAAAAGATTTATTTTACCAGTGACAAGCACGCTATGACGAACTGTTTCTTCACCCACGCTATTATTTGATTTGCAAACATATTTCCCATCATCGTCTAAACGAATTTTTTCGATTTTAAGAAGGCCAGGAATGGGTACTGATAAACGGGGATCATGCGCTAAGGCTTTAAGTACGTCTCCAATTTCCTTATACCATCTATAAGTTGGTATAGGAAATCCTTGAGATAAACAAGATAGTATAAGGTCGTCTCCCACTTTAACCTGTTTTCTACTATCGGTTTCCACAACAACTCTTGGTCGTTGACTTCCAGTAGGGTCTGAAATTATTTTTTATGAGTATCAAAAAAGTGTTCTAAAAATAATGAAATTACCATTCACAGTGATATGTCCAGGAAAAGAACTAGCCTTGGTTTCACCAGTTAACTTATGGACAGTTCTACAAGTATAACTTTTAAATCCATCGCTAGAATCAACATCGTTAATGTATAAATCACCATTTCCTAGTACAAGATATTTTCCACCAGAATCAACATTAGGATAAAAGTGAATTATATCATCCTGTGTCCACGACGTTACCATTACGTAGCTAGAAGCATGTGCAGAAACATGGCATCGTAATAACGCTGTATTTCCAATACTGACATACTCGGCATAAACCTGGACGTCATAGTTTTGATTCATAACTGAAAATTAAGTTTATTTTAATTGAAAAGTAACATAGGTAATATAAATAATATTGAAAATATGGTTAATATCTTTTTCAGAGGCATTATAATGAATAGTAAAAAAAAACTTTAAGTAAGCTAATAATCATACCAGCATTAATATGAACTGCTCCACTAATAATTTGACCAACTGCATTACTAGCCTTACATCTGTATTGTGCGCTATGTACATCATGCATGTAAGAACTTGGGCCAAAACTAAGAAATATCAAGCTACCGTTCTGATGTACCACTCTGATTTTTGGTATTGTCATCACCCTCGTTCCATCCTCTAAGAATTTAATTTAATTATATTATTTAACAAATAATATTGATTGAATATTACACAATCATACCTAAGTACCATTGCACTTGTGGCGTAGGGTTCCCAAATGCAGTACAATCGATTTTTGCACCAGTATCGTTTGAAAACTGGACGTTGAATGGTGGTACTAGACGAAATGCTGGTCCTATTAGTTCGTTATTCGCTTGACACACTGTAAACACATTAATTTTTAATAAAGAGCATAACTTTGATTTTAAATGTAATAAAAATATAATAAATGTAAGATGCTAAATTGGTCTATTATTTGTTGATCGCTAAAACCATCTAGTGATTTATGGCGTTTCTTTAATTTCTTGTACTATTATGGTGGACAGAAATGGCTTATGGATTGAAAAAGGATGTTCAGACGTTGCTGACATCCCAAGGAAATTGACTGCGGGTAATTTCCTGTCGACAAAACTTCAACCGTGGAAATCCTACCGCAGAATATTGATTAATGTTTAAAGCAATTAACGTTTAGGATAGTCTAGTTATCCAGTTCAGTTTGGGTCTCATTAGTATGGAAATAATCATTTGTATAGATTATACTGTGACAGACTACTTACATGAAAAAATAATGGCGAAGATATAGTAACTGACATGTTGGCACACAGTCTTCATTATCAATCCATTCTGAAATGTAAACATTGTTAAAATGCATAGTAGGTAATTGAAAAGCATATCCTCATATGGTAAACTACGCAAGGTTTTAATACATCCTATGTACATTGCAGTTCATCACGATGCTTGGGCTTAAATTGGATTAGAATCAAATATCGATATTTATTCATGGGTATATATAATATATGGTCCTAATCGTTTTATTTAGTAATTATTTTTAAAACATATATTTTACTCGATAATAAAAAGTTAGTACATTTCAAAAGCGGCTAACTATATTTTGAGAATTTTATGATACGTAATTTAAAGTAGATATAATTTATTTATTTAGGTGCACAATTGGTTACTGGTTAGTTACATTATTATTGCTAAAAAAAACTTAAAGAAAATCTTTAAAAAGTGTATTTTGCAAGTTTCACTGTAATATACCATATACGTAGTACGCGTAAATTTATTTATATTAGCTTATCATACACATTAACTATGGACAATTTTTAAGTGAGTAATAACTATTGTGTACCTAATGATTATAATTTCTATATAATTAACTCTTTTACATTTCTAATATATCTGATTTGTACATCTAATAATTTGTAAACGTAATTACATTATATACAATTTATATGAGGCCAATATTATTTAGGTATTCATAATATAGGAAATAGGTGGACCAAAAATAATAATAATTAAAGAAATAAAATCATAATACTTGAATAATGGGCCTGGGTAATACAACATGGATATATTCAATTTCTCAAACTTTTAATCTAAAAATGAATTATGCGTTATTACATATGAAAAAATAATACCAATATACAATAATACAATTGAAATACTAATTGTCTAATTGTACAAAACGAAATATTTCAATTAATTTTATCTATATTAAAATATGAACAGACGTATTTCAACAATTATACAAGAATCAATGGTTAATGTAATTTATGTTTATCATTTACATTTTAAAGATAGCGGTAGATTTGATAGATACCTAGTACATATTATGCGGGTTGCTTATAATAAAACTAAAAATTATCTTGTCATCATTATTATAATTATATTTTTATTTAGATTTATTAAATATAATATACTTATTTGTTTTATTAGATCAATATAAAGATGCAATATTTTTTTAATTTAAAATCTATTTAAATTAAACATAATTTTGATTATTGTTATGACTTAAAAAGTCATGTGTATTGATTAACACAAATTAACTACCTAATAAAATAAAGAATTTCGTTAATTATCAATATTTTTTTTTTTTTTAATTATATTTAAAATAAGAATGAACAATCTCATAGTGGTCTTTATATTCAAACGGGAACTATATTTATAATATTATTTGACCTAATTCATAATGATTTATGTCTAACTATTATACATAGAATATTAGAATGTAGTATTCATTTAACTAACTAAATACAATTAGTTAAATTATAATTATTAAAAAAAGACAATTCACATAAATATATATTTAAAATTTAGTGTTCGGTACGTTCACGTTCAGTGCTTAAAAGGGGAACTCGTTAACGTTCAAATTCTCATTTTTTTTTTCAAATCAACACGTTCAAGTTTACGTTCTTTGAAAATATTAATGAGTTAATTTGATTGTTAATTTAATTTTTTTTCCATCGTTTAAATACGAATACAAAATCGTGGGAATCATAATATTATTGTTGTTTTATGTCCAGCCGTGTCCACTGGAATTTCATGTATTTTATTTTTATAATTCGTAATATACTAATATATTATATATCATGATAGTATTATCAATCAATATTTATTAAATAATAAATAAATTAAAACTTCTTAAAAATAGTTCAAATTCATTAAATAAAACGTCGTTCACGTTCACGTTCTATTTGAAAAAACGAGTGACGTCCAGTGTCCACGTATCGTTCACTAAATATGAACGTGAAAGTTTCACCAAACACTGAATTACGTTTTAAATACAACTAATATTCTGTGTAATAGTGTATGGAAGAATTTAAATAAAATAAAAATAATATTTAATTTATATTAGAAGATTTTTCAATATTATTCTATTATCTGTACGCATAAAACATATTATACAATAATAATTTCATATGCACGATACCTACAAGTATATTTTTAATTTGATGTGTTATAAATTGTATTCAAATAATTTCATGTACCTACCGGTAATACTACTTATAATTTTAAGTTAATAGTTTCACTAATTTCGATGTAATATTAATAGGTAACTTATAAAATATAAATTATAATATGTAAAGTTTGCTTAAAATGTTAGTCTAAACCACCAGCTATAGAATAAAAAGTATTATATGGCTTATTATTTCACGGAAATGAGATAACTATGTTGTGGTAACTGAACAAATATTATTATTACATTACACAGAGATAAATAAGAGGATAATATATACGAGGAAAATAAATTTCACTGTGATAAAGGCAATGCTGTTCAACTATGTTCTATCTTATAAATATTATATTTAACTAATTTGATCACACTTACTATACGGTATTAAAAAAGGAGTATTTTTTTTATTGCTTTGACAAACCGCAATTATAAATTAATTAAAAAAACTCTCACAAACAAACTATTTTATAGTTTAGAGGTCGAACAAACAAACAGATTACAGAATCAAAATTAGTCTGACGTGTCATAAAATTTTGTATAATTATCATAGAATTTTATAGGGAACAACATCGTATCGTTTAATGGTATATTACATTATTTTAAATTTCATATTATTTATTTATTTGGTTTTTTGTTCATCGGATTTTAAAAAATTTATAAAATTAATAATAATAATAAATTTAAAAAGTATATCCATCAGTTGGTAATTTATAATTTCGGGTGTATTGTATAAGGATAACGGAAGGGTAAATGAATACATTCCCAGTGATCGTATAAAAAATATGCGTATAATTATTCCAGTGCATAAAATCAATGGCCTTTGAACAATAAATAATAATTATATGGAAGTGGAAACTAAGTCTGCGTAACTTTGTAAAATTTGTTTAGGTAATACGTATATTATGAAATATTTGTTGAATTTAGTTTTCAAAGAATTTGATGTCTTAATAATTTTTTTCAGTAAAAACATTGAAATGATAAACGTTACATTTAAATCAGCTAGGGATCGTGTGAATAGTTTAAATTAGTTTATAACTAAAATTTCTAAAATTTTACTTTTATTTTATATTTATTTAACACTGATTTCGTTTAGATTGTAATATATTACTAATATTGTATGTATTAGTGGTGAGTGGGTGAATGCGGGTCAGAGGTAAAAACCTGTCATACAGGTATTATCTCAAATATTAAGATTGATAAAAATCCGTTTTGTCATGCAGCTAATTTCTTATTGTATGAAACCCAAAAACTAAAGTCTCCACCATATTATATTAACAATTGAGAACAGAATTTTTTGTTCTCCTTTTTTCGAAGTTTGGATAGTTACATTTGCTATTCGAAAAAAAAATATGATAAGTGTTTATTTCATCTTATTAAGTTAGCTATCAAAATTATGTAGTTTAAGATGCTTGCAGTTATAAAAGGCTTGGTTAATTTATTTATTGTATATTGAGATAGGTACAACATAATTAAAAAATTATTTAAATTCGACCTATACCAAAAAAAACTGATCTTGCAATACTGATCACTCAGAATTATATATTTGACCGGTTCGGTTTTAACCGTCGATTTAAAATTACAGGTTTAAAGGTGTATATTTTAATATTTTGTTATTTCTGAAATAAAATGTCTTATTAGTTTTGAAATATTTTATTTATTTATTAATATTTAATAATTTGAGAACAAAATTAATTATTCCAAAATTTAACTAGACTTTAAAAAACAAATCTATTTCCTATCTATTTACATGTATTTCAAACAAGAGCGGTATTACCCTCCAGGTAGAGTAATATAAGTGATTTGCAGTTTAAAAATAAAAATTTAAAACTAAATATAAAAAATACTTTAAAATATCTCAAATTCAAATATGTTGTAGCCTAAAAGTTTATAAATCAATATTGAGGATTGACTAAATTTTGGAGTTATATTTGGTAAGATATAAAAGTTTCCCCTTACTTGACCACCATTCAACCACTCTCCCCTATCACTGTTTGAGATTAATTATTATAAATAACAGAAGCTAAAATTAATTATATTTGTATTTCGGTACAACTACATTTTCAATAAAATTATATAAATACAATATGTTTAATGTATTTTGATTAATATTTAATAAACAAACAAAAAGTTTAAATTGTATATAAAATATAAATAATATATCTAATATCTATATTTATTTAAAATGACGTACCTATAGTTTACAATATTGTATAATTTAAAAAAATCTTATTTTATTGATATGCTGCAGATACCCACAATCTATTTTACAAAAATAACTTATTAATTTAAAATAGAAAATAGTATTCTAGTTTTAACTTAAAATTCAATCCATTGAAATAATTAAATTTTAATTCTGTGAATGTTTTTTCAATTTATTCATACCTGACTTTATTAAATACATTTGCCAACAAAAGAAACCATAAAATTAATTAATACAGAATGGTGATAGAAATATATTGATTAATTATTTAAGAATTAAATTTGTATAAAAAAAAATATTGAAATGTAAAAAAAAAATTTTTTTAATGTTTCCGGAATTAAATGCATGGTATATTTTAACTTGTAAATTAACATACTTTATAAGCTATTAAAATAATATAATAATTTGTTTTTAACCATATCTGTATTTTATCTGTGTCGATTTTCAACCAACACATTTAGATGCATGATTTATATAGTGCGTTACCAATGGGTATCTTCCCTAATCTTATTATTCATATCATTCTTACTTGTCACCAATCAAACCTACTTATTATACTCAGAACATGTATAGATTGTAGATTACTTCAAATAAAAATAAATAAATAAAGAATACATTTGTATATAAGGGTAGATACTTACTACTTCATATTTTTACTTATTTATTTATTTAAACAAATATAATTTCAATTAAGAATATTAA